ACGTCACCGTGTGTGGTATGACTATAGAAGACCACGACCGGAATCTCGAACGATTTCTGAAGATCGCCGCTAAGTACGGCATAACATAGAACACTGATGGAACGGTCACATCCTTTAAAGAAATCGATCTTCTCAACTACCGCATATCCCAGGGCATAATCAAACCGGACCCCGACCGAATGAAACCGTTACGCGATATGCCCCCTCCGACGGATGCAAAATCCCTTCGACAAGTCATTGGTATGTTTGCTTACTGTTCGCAGCGGATACCCCACTTTTCAGACAAAATTCATCCTCCAATTAAAAATACAACATTCCGACGACTATTGAACACACATTCGAAAACCTGAAGTCCGATTTGGAAAACGCTATGAATGTTGCCGTAGACTACAATCTTCCGCTGGTTGTTGATACGGACGCATCGGATGTCGCAATAGCCGCCTCAGAATAACCGACCAGTAGCCTTTTTCTCACGCACTTTGACTCCTAGCGAAAAACATCAATCTGCAGTAGAAAGGAAAGCGTGCGTGATCGTGGAAGCCCTACGCAATTGGAGGCACTATCTTCTTGGCACCCACTTCAAACTCATCACCGATCAACGTTCCGTAGCCTTCATGTATGACTGTTGACAGACAGCTAAAATCAAAAACGATAAAATCCAGAGGTGGAGACTCGAATTATCTACCTTTCACTAGGATACAGTCTACGGACCCGGAAAAGATAACCAAGTCGCTGATACACTGTCCCGCAGTGCTTGTGCTTCCAATTTTAACAACACAAAACTGCGAGACCTGCACGATTCATTATATCACCCCGGAATAGCGTGAATGGTGCATTTTATACGCACACGCAATCTACCGTATTCAGTCGAAGAAATCAGGAGCATGATTGCAAAGTGCACTCTGTGCGCGGAACTAAAACCCCGCTTTTTCAAGTCATCTTCCTGCAATCTAATCAAAGCTACACGGTCATTTGAGAGACTAAGCATCGATTTCAAATGACCCTTACCTTCGACCTCTCGGAAACGGTATATTTTGTGTATCATTGATGAATATTCTCGATTCCCGTTTACTTTTGCATGTCCGGACATGCTCTCATCTACTGTCACCAACTGTCTTTGTCAATTGTTTGCTATTTTTGGCATGCCTGCCTGTACGCTCGGATCGCGGTCCATCTTTTATGTACACAGAGCTCGTTCGGTTTCTGCGTAATAAGGGTGTAGCAACTAGTCACACAACTGCTTACAACCCGCAAGCTAACGGTCAGGTGGAGCGCTTAAGCGGTACGCTATGGTAAGCTATATCGCTAGCACTGAGGAATGAATGGGAAACAGTCCTCCCAGATGCGCTACACTCTATTCGCTCACTGCTTTGCGTAGCCATCAACAATGCACCTCACGAATGATTGTTTTCTTTCCCCCGGAGATCGGCCAACGGCTCCTCCATACCGACGGTTGACAACCCCAGGCCCGATGCTGCTCAAACGAATGGATCGAACTTAGAAGACGAAGTTGATCTCATTAGCTTTAAGCCAAATTATGCTCTCGTTGAAACGTTTCCGTTCGACGCTGGGCCCCACCGGGTGACCTACCCGTCTCGAGACCAGAAACCTGTGACCTGACTGACAGTGAAACACACACAGTTAGAAACTTCTCCTCCAAGATCGACAGATAATTCACTTAATCGTGAGATTTTTGACACCTCCCCAGTCTTGACACCTGTACCTGACACTGTATCAGAAATATTACGACAACAACAAAAAACGAGACCTTAAAATCTAAGAAACAGAGAAGCTTAGTTACCTTCTGGTATTTCCCTTTTTTATCCCAAACAAATCATTAATAATCTTTAGCGAAAATGTAAAGCGAACTTCCTTCTCTCGGCCGGGGAGAATGTCGTGTTTGTTATTCGTTCTGTTTCCGTATGCTGTTACTCACATCGTTCTTTTTATTTTTCAGCCTATGTACCGTAACTAATAGACGAGTAAAGCGAATCCTTCCGGTTGCCCGTTACCTCTCTAATCTCGACCGTACTCGCTTGTTGTCGTCCATATCAACGCGCCTCCCAGTTGGTGTGAAAAAAGTGCCCGGCATCTTTCAACAAGTTATGGAAGCCATAACTACTGACCGCGAGGATACGGCGGCTTATTTGGATGACATCATATTGTTGAAGTTACGCAAGCAGAACTGCGTGTACGATTACAAAATATGGTTACTCGTATCCAAAAATACGAAATTCGTCTTCGGAAAGATAAGTGCCAATTCTTGATGACGTCTACCAAGTACCTTGGTTTTGTCTTTGACGCCCGAGGACGCCGTCCAGACCCCGAAAACGTCCAGGCTATCAAAGTTACGCAGCCGCCACTACTGTCTTTTCTAGGCATGGTCAGCTACTATGGCGCATTTCTTCCGACGTTACATATGTCTGTGCTCCACTGAATGACCTTGAGAAGAATGTGCCTTGGAAATGGACAAAGGAATGTCACCTTGCCTTTACCAAGCTCAAAACCATGCTGAGCTCCGATCTATGCAATTATGACCCCAAACAAAGACTTGTGTTCACTGCAGACGCTTCCGATCATGTCGTAGTCTCTCTTATTTCCCATGTATGGCCCAATGAGACTGAACGACCTATCGCTCATGTCTCTCCTACCTTACCATCAACTGGGAACTACAGACAGACAGAAGAAGATGCCCAAGAAACCATCTTGGGTGTCAAGAAATTTCACAAGTACATTAGCCGTTGCTCGTTCACGCTACTCACAGACTACAAACCACTCCAGTCAATCCCATTGCATACGGCTAATCGACTACAACACTGGTCTATTGGCTTATTGGTATACAACTTCCACATTGCATTCCGCCACACGCAGGACTTCAATGAAGCGGATGGATTATCACGCCTTCCACAAACCAGACGTCCAACACAGAAGATGGAGACGACAATCGACTCCTCCCCTCCCACACACACACGAGGAAGGGACCTGCTCAGTCTTCCAAACTTTAGAGAACAGGACGTGGAGTTCTCTAGCAAGCTTT